CTTTGCAATCAAGATAACTTAACAACCATAAACAAGTTGTCAGAGGGAAAAAAATTACATTTTGCTGTTGCACAGACCACATACAGATGACTGATTTCTCTTTCAAGTTCAAGCACACAAAAGAGTTGTTTATACTTTTCAGCAACTGACCCAGGCTGGCATGACAATCTTCAAGATCCAAGCAAGAATGGCTAAAGGGCTTTCAAAATGCTTCTTGGCAAGTAATGTAGGATAACAATCAGAGGATGTATAAATAGCTTAAATGTTTGATAAGAGGAAAATGAAGTTGCTGCATTCTCAAGCCATGCTTTCTTACAGAGATTTAATCAGAAAGGAGTTTTTGTTGCATTGTATATTTAGGTATAGCTTTCTTATGTGTGCTATCATTCTGTATGCTTGCTAATGTGAAAGATTTATGTAAACAGTTATAAATATAATTCAGAGAGTTAGACTTAGCTATTGTTGTGGACATATAAATATCACAAGTTACTGATACAAAATAAGAGTTCACTTAGGAATTAATTTAAATTTAACAAATGTATTTGGGAGATGGATTGAACTCCTCGTTAGAAGAATGCAATTGCCTTTCTGAGGCTTGGGGGGATGATACTGAGTAAATGTCTTCTGGATACCTTCACGTTACCACTATTCATAATACAATTTTAGTTGCTTCCTGCATGAGAAAAAAAATTAATTATTCTGCAACACGAATTCTTGCTGAACTTAAATTGGGAGAATGAGGGCACTGCAGAAACTCATTTTATTACTTTGGGGAAGCCCTTGATTCCAGGGCCTTGGATCTCTGCTCCATGGTGCAGCCCTAAGTATGGCAAAATGCTATAATAAATACATCCAATGAATTAAGAATTTGACAAACTACATGGTTAGGAAGCAAAATTAGTCATGGAAACCAAAGCAACATACTAGTTTTGAAATAATGGTCTCAGAAGAGCAGATCAGTACTACCATTTACAGCAACTTGCAGCAATAGTGCTATATGAAAACATCCAGGTCAAAGAGGTAACTTCCTTGGTTCCAGTTGGTTGCTAGGCAATATCCATGCAGAGCTCTAATTAGGTCTACATTCAGAGTGACCCTTTTTAATATCCACTAAGAACAAATTAATCTTTAGATTACATTTTCTTGTTATCCAAATTTTAAATTAATACTGGTTTTGAAATGTAAATGTTATAAGAGACCATATAGATAAAGGGTTATGAGGCAAGCCACATATTGTGATGGAAAATAGGAGATCTTTGAGTCTCCCAGTGATCTGTATCCTGACAATCCTGTTTGTGATGTTCTGTATTTTAAGATGTGGTAGCTGACCTTCTATTTCTCTAAACAGCCCTGAAGATATGGGACAGTCTTGAATTATTTTTTTAAAAAATCAGGTGTCACAGGACTTGGTGTTATTTAAGCTTTTCTGAGTCTTTGGAGTCATGCTAAAAAGCTAAGGTAATAGTGGGCATTGACTTGGTTGTCCAGTTATTCTTTATAACCCCTGAATCTAATACTGCATTGTGGTTGTTTCTGTTCTCTATCAAAGAAGTTAGAAAATTCTTTGAAATTTCTTGTGGTGTTTTTGAGCTTAGTTGACTTTTGGTGGTAGCAAAAAGTATTTTTATTTTTTTACTACACATTTCCCCATCATTCTGAAGCCTTCCCAGCTGATGACACTTGCCATCTGGAAAAGCCAACTCCTCACACCAACTTCCATTTAGATTTAATTGAAGGATGAGAAGCTTGGGGCTGAACACCACTGGAGAGATGATTAATAATGCCTCACAGCTACCACATGACTAAATATAACCACAGGTATGCCACATCCATCCAAGAATTAAACCAAATTTAATGTTTCTGTTGGTAGAAATTTTAAAAGCAAATTCCTTTACAGGAAATGGGGTAATTAATAATTCCATTCTTTGGAATTCTAAGAGAGAATGATGAAAAGAAATAGTCTCTGGAGTTACTTATTCCCAATACAGCTTCTTCAGTGTACATAAATAATGGGAAATGGAGATAAGGTTATTAAGGTGAGGCTTTAGTTTCCTTCCATATAATTTTAGTCACATATAGAAAGGAATTTTCATACACAAAACTTAACTTAAGGTAAACTCAAATTGGAATTGTCTATCAACCTTGCATTTTATGTACTTAATTTATCTGCCCAGGAATTACCTTCTGATGTGTATGTGTGTGTGAGAGAGAGACTTTAACCATTCATTCAGTCATTTTTATTTATTTAGCATATTGCAGTTAATTAATTTTGATAATGTTTAAACTTTGTAACATTCAATCTATATTCCATCCAATCTAATTTATTTTGAATCCAATAATGTTGCCCACTGTATCTTTCTTATTAGATTTAACATATGAAGGTAACTCCTGAACACCGCTTCTGTCTCTTCAAATGCTGAAAATGGAAGGCTATCTTTGCAGTTTGTCAAATATTAATGAATTATGCCATTATTTAACTAAAATCATTTCTTATTCTGAAGAAACTGTAATCCATAACTATGGAACCATCCAAATGACTATTTAGCAAATTATACTTTAGCAACTTGGAGATATACTGCTTTTAAGCTTCTTTCCTAATTTCAGAAAGTGGCAGCTGAAATCTAATGGAATTTCTCCCTAGACATAGGATAATTCATTTCAATTACTATATTGACTATTCTTTTTATGTTAAGAGCACAGGAAGTTCCTTAAGCAGATTACACATGGTATATATACCTAAGAATTACTATAGTTCGTAGTTAGGAATGTGCAGGGAACTATTTTTGGCCATTCCCTCTTCACTTAGCAACAAGGATTTGCAACAACTACACAATTTAACTAGAAATTCTTGATGTGTATGTTTGGCAGCTGTCCTCACCCATTCACCCCAACTTTATAAGACAATGACTCCAATAAAAAAAGATCTCTTTAAAAGAATTAAAATTCTTTTAAAATCTTAGAATTTTTTTTGTTAAAATTCATCAGTATATGTAGTATGACAATTGGGAAGGTTTACATCAAAATTTAAAGGTCTGAATTCAAAATTCAGTTGCAAAAACAACTGCATTAGTAATTTAACATCTACAGTGATTCACTTGACAACTGTGGCAAGAAAGGTCATAAAATGGGGCAAAACTCACTTAACAAATAAATTTTGGGCTCAATTGTGGTGGTAAGTTGAAGACTACTTGTACAGAAGTAATTTGAAATTTCTGGTTTAACTGAACTCTTTGCTTTCCTTGACATTCCTAATTGTGTCCAACATCTGATGCAAACTCTATTAAGAAATGATGCAACTTTAGGATAACATGCACTTTATTCTATGGTCTAAATATTTTACATTATTTCTTTATCACCCTAACCTTATTTTAAATTCAGAAATAGGAAGTATTTATTTTTCCCCAGATTGTACTAATACATATATTTTTGTTTCTTGAGGCTTTATAGGTAATTTATTTATGAGTCATCATAGGCTAAATTATGTAGAATTTTGGTAAAAAAATGAACATTTAATTAGCCTTATCCATATTTAGTTTATTTGCAAATAATTTTTTATTTTCTAAAAAAAATTGTTACAATAGGGTAGATTGTTATAGACATTAAAATGCGTCCCTGTTTTTTTGTACAAAAAGTCAAATTGATAACATTTTGTTTTGTTTTTGAGCCAAACAAATTGATAACATTTTGTTTTGTTTTTGAGCCAAACATTGAAAACAGTAGATCGGTGATAACTCTGGTATTCATAAACCTAATATATGCATAAAAAGTATCTTAAATAAATATTTTAGGCTTAGGAGAATAATTTATAGCTTTTCAATTTAATTTTCTATTTACTATATTGAAAATCGTCTTTCCAAACAGCATAAGGAAATGTATATCCATGTGCAGCATGTTTTTGACTTGCATGTCAAGGACAGCACACTCTGGGGAAAGTTGGATAAGGACTCAAATAATATGAGGGCCTAAGGGTAAAAGTAAACTTTTATTAGTTATTATTATTATGACAATTAATTATTATACTTACAGTCATGTGAAAAAAGATACATCATGTAAAGTTTTGTTTTTTGTAACATACAAAAGTGGAGATGTCAATATTATATCTTCATTCAAACAATATATAAAAATAAAAGTAACACAATTGAGAAAAGGTTATGAAAAAAGTTGACTTTATGCTATAATTTATTCAATAACAACAACAACAACAATACTTTTTCATCCAGTGGCTCTATTACTGGTTATTGCCCTTTCTGGCAGAAATAATCTCAAGTAGGCATTTCTTATAACTGTCTTATAACTGTTTAATGTCTCTGACATAATTGGGAAGAATGTTTTCTCACTGCTACATGGTGATTTTTTTCAGCTGTGAAATGTTTGAGGGGGTTTCTTGCATACATAACCTATTTCAAATCACTCCACAACATGTAAGGTGACCTTGGCATGTGGAAATGATCTTGGAAGACAGAGGGAAGAACTGTAGCCAGGGCAGTTGTTTAATAAGTGGCTACTTAATCTGCAGCAGGAATGTAGGTGTGGCAAAAACCTTAGAAGAGTTTCAATATCTTGGCCTATAAAGGCAGACAAGGGAGAAACATACTTTCAAAGTTGAAAAATTCTGTTAATGTACTCTTACAATAAAGCAGAGCTAGTACTTCTGGGTGTGCTTCTTGTCTGGACTATATCACAAAACTGATAATTTCAGACCTCTTCAGGTCTTTTCTTTTTCTCAGCCATTCCTTGATAGAATGTCTAGGGTCATGTTGCAAAGTCCACTTTCTGCATACATCATGTTGGTATATATGATTCTCATTCATCTACTTGTAACTTTATAAAAAAAGATTGCACTCAATCATCAAGTGAGATTCATGGATGGATGGCAATGTGAATTTGTCCCCATCTGTCTTTAACAGTATTATGTAAATAGTGTTTCTGTTTCTGTACAGCAAATACATGCATTTATTTAAAACATTTATAATCATTTTGAGAAAATTTATTTCACTTACATTTACTTCAGGTATGTCCATGTTGCACTGTTTTCTATATATTTAGACCTGATTTCATTCTTCCAGCCCTACATTTGGTCCATTCTCTGAGTATAGAAACTTTTGATCAATATTTTTTTATATCTGATTTGAATGCAAATAGGGTTCAGTCTCTCAAGCAGATGAACTGAAGTACAGTATGTCTGACAGATCTGGAAGACACAAGGCTGACTTAAGATGTTAGACAAATCAGAAATAATCTTATGTGATTACAGCTATTCAATTTGCCCCATAAAAATACTCACCTATATTTTCTCAAAAAAGAAATCCCCTTGAGGCTCAGGTGTGTTTTAGGCTTTAGCAACATGAAGAGGGAGTGCTCTTCTTGAACTTACCATTGTTATTTGTAGTCTTTATAACTTGGACGTCACTGCAGTTTTTTCAACAATGAGGAACATTCATCATTTGAGTTGCAAAATTAAATGGTTTTGAATTGAACAATAATAATATCAAACAAAGAAGAAAATGAATGTATTATTCAGGTGTTGTCAACCTTTGAATATTTATGTGTATTGCATGTTAATCCAGGTTTCTTGGCTCCTTTCCTAACATACCTCTAATATTAATCTATGTCAAAACAGTTCTACAGTTTTTTTAAGGAATCATATCATGTCAATTGTTTAACACCATGATTTCTAAGGCATTGCAAAATGAAAGAATGTGTCCTCTTACACTTTTAATCTACTTCTTAACATTGTTTTTGTATCCCTGTTGCAGGATTTTTTAAAGCTAATTAACTGTGAAAAAATTGTTGAAAAATTACAACTTTTACCAAATTTGTATGTCCCAACAGAATATATTCATGCTCAAGAAATAATCACATATTATTATTTAATTCTTTTTCTAGCATAGAACTGTGTTCACTATTAGCTATATGTATCTCTCTAGCATCCCTATCCTGAGAATGGCTGTTAACCAAGGAGTCCTAATTGATAAGTAGATATTAGCAGGGTCTGCATATCAAAGACATTTCTATACTTGTTTCTATTATGATTCCTTAGGAAACAACTGAACTGAACTTAATACAAAGGTAGCAAATATTAAATCATAATAAATCATCAGGGTTTAGGCTAAATGTTCAGTGCATTTGCTGCCTCAGCATAGCAAAGCTACAGTATATATACAAATGATTTGGAGAATTGGCTTTATTTTTTACTCTATTTGTTCATTATGCAGTTTAAACAATGTGTATACAAGTGTTCACATGTTGCATTAAGTCATGATTGTTTAAGTTTCAGTTCCTCATCATGTCATCGTAAAGTATTGGGAAGCTGATAGAATAGTTTCTGTCAGATACCTTTGAGACTTGCCACTAGCTGGAAAAGCAGTATTTATTCTTCTTGGGGTTTTCTTGTGTGTGAGGGGATAATTGTGCCTTTGAATCAGATACCTGATTCCTGGCAACTACCTGAACAAATAGCTGAAATTTTCTTGGCAACTTTTCAGAAGTGGTTCATCTTTGCCTACTTAGGGCTGAGAGAGAGAGTGACTGGCTCAAAACCACACAGCTGGTATTGTGTCTAAGGTAGGATTTGAACTCAGTCTCCTGATTTTTAGTTTGATACCTTAACCACTACATCCAAACTGGCTCTCTAATATTTAGATAGATGGATAAATTAGAAAGAGGCCTTTGGAATGTACATCAGTGCAAACAAAATATTTTTACTTAAAACACCATGGCACCATCTTTCAGAAAGTATGAAGTGGCTGCTTCAAAGCCTTTCTCCAATAGTCCCACAAGTGCTTTTTCAAAAGGCAACTGGACTTTGTTTTTCCCTGAAGACATTTTGCTTCTTATACAAGAAGCTTCTTCAGTTCTGACTTCTTGGTCAGAAGCTTCTTGGATGAGAAGCAAAATGTCTTTAAGGAAAAACAAAGTCTATTTGCCTTTTGAAAAAGTACCTTTGGGGCAACCATAATCTGGATGACTGAGAATCATCATAGATGTATTTTCCCAATAGTTTCCATATATAAATACAAGAATTACTATTTTGCTTTTCTGGCAGTACCAACAGAAATATTGTCTATGTCCATATTTTGTCCAAAAATATGGTTTGAAACTTCCAGAAAATGTCTGTGGTTTAATATTCCAAGGGTGCTTAAGCAAATGTATATTTTGAAGCATTCCTTTACCAAGTTTTTTATAGCACTGTAACCTATATTTCTTATCACAAATACAAAAACAACCTGATTTTTCACAACTATCTGCAAAGCTGATATTGTATTTCAGGTTGTTTACCCCATTCAAATATTATTACATATAGAACATCATTTCCCATCACCAGTACTGAAATAAGCAAAAAAAAAAAGACTTTGTTTATGTATCGATAAGTATAGGTATTTCTACCCAAATCAAAATAGTATTTTTAACAAGGATAAAAATATAGCTGTTCTTTTCTCTTTTTTTCTTTTTCTTTAAGATATTTGTGCTGAACAAGTGACTGAACAAGAAAGATGTCATTTGGCTGACATTAGGAACAGGGTTAATTGGAACAGTCACAAGTTAAGTGTTCCGTTTTTCATAATGGTTGATGATGGCTTTTTGTCTCACTGCGTTTGAAATTGGGGCATGTCCCCTACTTATCAGTGCCCCTGAAAATGCTGTCTTTATGTATTAACCATAAAGAGTAGGGGAAAAAAGCAATCATTTCTCTGGTAGACGGATGATAAAATGACAAAACTGCCACTAAATAGCACTGGTTGGTTTTTCTATTGCTACTGACTGTATCTCTCATCTTTTGAGAAGTTGATTGTGATGGTTGACAATTGAATATGACTGTTTGGATTTAAGAGCTACTTTTCTCTTAACTGCTGTTAACTTGTGTACCCCCTTTAAGCATGCCACTAAATGTGCCATATAGTTTTCTTGAAGTTTGATTGCTGTAAATATTCATAGGTCCAGGTGGTTCCAGAAATATACATATGGTGAAGAACATGTGCTCAGATAATGTATTTCCCTCGAGATTATACACACGTGCTCTTGTTTTAGATATCTGGTTTCTAATTCACCTTTGAGATCTTAGTATATTTCTATATTTATAATCAACAATAAAACTGAGGACTCCCTCCATACTCTACAAAAACCTATGCATTAAAGTACAGCTACTTCTTATCTCTTTATTTATGACTTTAGAAGGAGATTCCATTGTATTCTGTTTATGTCTTATTCTATTTTGGCTGTTGTTGTTTATATTTTATTTTATTCTGTAAACTCTTGTTAAAAGATGAAATATAAATGATAACACAGCATTTGCAACTAAAAATATATATGCATTAAACATAAAGCTGTGTTTTATTAAAAATAGGAAAATGCCTCTCTCTCTATAGGATATAGGAAAGGAAACAATATCTCCAACATAAATAAGCTCTATTTATCATATACGTTTTTTTCATAAAAGAACATAACCTCACACAGAGGTTCCAATTTAGCTAAAGAGAATTTATTTATTCTGAAACACATTTACGTTTGTGTATGTGTGAAATGATACTGTACATGTGTTCATAGCATAAATATATAGACAGACAAAAGTTTGTTTCATATGCCTTTTTCATTTTCATAATCTAGTTTGTTCCCAAATGTTGTAATTCCCACACCCTGCAGTTGCAACACAATTAGGTTTCCTCAATAGTAATTTATAGAATTTTCATAGCATAACTCATCCATCACTGGTGATAAATAAAACCTGTTCTCACTACTATTATTTTGACAAAATAATAGTGGAATGATTCTACATGATATTTAGTTTGCAGTAGGAAAATGACATGAAAAAAGATATTTTGGCCAGATACTTGGCTTTAAATAAATAATATTAAAAGTGTTTAAATTTACTGGTCTTTGTTTCTGCTTTTATAAGTCACCTAGTGTGGAATATAATAAAGAAGCCATACAATAATTTTATATGATGACACATTGCCCATTCTATTATACTTGCCTCTAAATTAATTCATATTAAAGAAACATGTTTTAAAATATTAATCAAACAGGACCTGTTTCCTGTTTCATTGTTCATTTTATTGTACTCATTTGGATGTGGCTAAGAAATTGGTTATAACTAGCTACTTAATTGTCTCTGTTGACAATGAACTTATTTTCCCAACATGTATTTCTTAATTTGTGAGAGTATCTTTTTTAATTATTCCAAGGGCAAACTGGATATTTCTTCTATGCTAATATGGTTAAATTTGGCAAACTGCACAGCTTTAATACATTACATCATACATTTTTTGGAAAGCCACATACATACCCATTAGCAACTTTTCTAGTGACTTCTATTTGTTCATTTCCAAAATAGCATGCCAGCATACCATCTCTGTGCCAAGATACATTTTTTGTTCATACAAGTTTCCTTTCCTTTTTACTAAAAACAAAGCAAACAAACAAAACAAGCTTACATGTTACATACAAATCAACAATCTAACGTATAATAATAATAATAATAATAATAATAATAATAATAATAATAATAATAATATAGCCAAGATATTGTTATGGAGTTTGGCTTGGACAAATGTGCCACACTTACTATCAAACAAGGAAAAGTAGTGAAAACTGAAGGAATCAAGATGCCCCACAAAAATAACATTAAGAGTCTGGATGGGGAAGATTACTACAAATACTTGGGTATCCTTCAAGCTGACAACATCAAGCACACTGAAGTCAAGAAAAAGATTAGCGGTGAATACATCAAGAGAGTGAAGAAGATCTTAAAGTCCAAACTCAATGGAGGAAATACCATAAAGGCAATCAACACCTGGGCAATTCCAGTCATTAGGTACACAGCTGGAATAGTGGACTGGACTCAAGCAGAACTAAAAGCAATGGATAGGAAGACCAGAAAAATAATGACAATGAATCATGCCCTTCATCCACGCAGTGACATTGACCGACTTTATCTACCAAGGCAAATAGGTGGGTGTGGAATGTACATCAGATGGTTGAAGAAGAAAAAATGGCTTTGGAAGAATATCTGAAGAACAATGATGAAGATGCACTGAAATTAATATATCAGGAAGGCTTACTGACTACTGGAGAGACCAAAACTGGCCTACAAGAAAGACCAAATGAAGAACAGAATAGAGGCATGGGAAGACAAAGCACTACATGGCCAATACATGAAAAAAATAGCTGGGAAAGCAGATAATAATAAAACCTGGCAATGGCTAAGAGCAGGAAAATTGAAGAAAGAGACCGAGGGACTAAATCTGGCTGCACAAGACCAAGCCTTAAGGACAAATGCATACAAAGTCAAAATTGAGAAGACAGAAACAGACAGTAAGTGCCGCCTATGCAAAGAAGCTGAAGAAACAGTGGACCA